TATATATATATATATATATATATATATATATATATATATATGACTGTAAGATTCCCTCTAATTGGCAAAATATGCATATTACATTAATCCTAAATCCTTCTCCCATTTACCAAAGGTAAATGATTGGTCAGATGACCCCGTTAACAAAACGAACATTAATGTAAGATTCTTATTTTTGTGTTCTAGAATTCATTTCTGAGGATCACTATTACCACCAATGATGGGTGATTGTTTAGTTCCTGAAACGAGTGCAGAGTCTCCTAATGTGTGAATTTCCTTAACCTTCTAGAGAGAGGTTGAGGAAACCTCCCTCTGATTTGGCAGGAATCAGGGGGAGGAATCAACTGATTCCTGCCGGAAAGTCAAAAGTTTGGGCCATAAGACCATAAGTTTGTGTTGCACCATATTATGAAAATATTGTGTTGTAATGTAAACAGTATTTCAAAATTCAAATATTACAAGATATGCATACAAATAAAAGTCTCACAGGTGATCAGATTCTACTGGAATTATGAATGACCAGTATAGGTGTAATACAGGTGTCAAATCAGGAAATGTGTGCAACCACAAGATGTTAGATATGACATGATGAGGTCTCCAATATTTGATTATTTAAGATTATTTAGCCTTCATCATCACTTTTTTGCCATTTGAAAACATCCTTCTAATATCTCATGTGGCTTTTTTGATCAGGTATGTAGGAAGTCTTTAAGTTTTTTTAAAAAATTAAAGAGATAATTTTGATTTTAATTGCTCTCATTCCATACAATCATTCCCAGTCTTTTTTTGGGGGACAGATTTATATTCATCCCATCCATCCATCTGTTTTCCATACCTGCTTATCCTTGCAGGATTCTGTCATTGGGCAAGAGGTTGGGTACACTCTGGTAGGTCGCCGTGTTCCTATTCATTTCTAAGAAGAAAAAACAAATCACAAATTAGTAGCAGCATAACTTTGTTCAAGATTCAGAATTATTTCATCCCCCTGCAGTGGTGCAGCTTGTCTGTTTTAGGATACATCATGAGTTCAAAAAAATTCCCACCCTTCAGATTAAGCAGGCACTTAAAATATTTTGCCCCTCAAAGACACCCAGGTGTGAAGACAAAAGTGAAGGCGGATGAGATGGAAAAATGGATGTAATAAATATTTAAAACTTAACTGCTACTGTTTCTTTTTTTTTCATAGAAAAGGCAGTGGTTTCACACCAAGGTTAATTGTGAGCTGTCAAGTCCATTGTGTGTACAGCAGCTATAAGACTGTTTTTGTGATGGCCTAGGGGGGAAGGACTCCCCTGTCTGATGAGAAGCACTAGAATTACTGCTCTGATCCTCTGTGGGCCGTGAGGACTGCTGACCAAGCAGAACTCCCTCTGTCTCTGGGTTGCTCTCCCTCGCCCTCTCCCTCCAGTTTTCCTCAGTGGTTCTGGGTTTCGTAGTGAGGGGGGTCGACACCTCAGCTTTTCTCATATAACAGAAGGGTTATGTGTCACACTCTCATCAAAATTATTTCATATTAGCCCAGTGGAAGTGCATTTAGCAGCTGGAGGCTGTAAAAGAAGGAGTGATTGCGGCACTTTATCCCTGTATATGCAGCTCATCAGCACAGCACTGACCTTGTGTAAGGACAGAGATTCTCTGGTTACCTTCATTGAAAGCCAATAGCTAGAATTACATCCTTTGCTCTGCTTTTAAAGATAAAGTTGACTCAGGAAAAATTTCTGGTGAAAAGGGAAATTCTACAAAAAAAAACAAGAAAATGCTTGTGCCTCAAATATAAAGCTTACTGCACTGTAAGCTGTATGCCTCTCTTAGACAAAGGGCTAATATTTCAGACCCCCACTCTTAAAAGTCTTTGACTAATTGATTAGTTAACATACTTTAAGCAGAAAATCCATCAAGTTCCATTTATTCCATCGTTGTTGTCCCTCCACAGTTTAGTGCCGTAATGTTGATGGATCTTTCATAATCCAGTGCTCACCAAGGACAAAACCTTTGACATTTGCTGTAATTACTAGAGGTGGTTTAATTGAGTGAGTCAAACGCGTCATTTGGAGCTGCTCGACGTCTTCAGTAAAGCAGATTCCATAGTGAGTTATTACTCCTATCTAAAATACACGCCAGCAGCGTCTTGCAAAAACATTCATACCCCTTGGATCTTTTCCCATTTTGTCATGTCACAACCACACATGCTTTATTTGGGGTTTTCCTCAAAAGAGTAGATTGTTTTTTTTTTGTTGTTTGTTTGTTTTTCACAACACTACAAAGAACTATCTGAATCAATACAATTTACATCAACCTTTTACAGTGATTACTGTACATCTGCAAGACTTTGGGGATTGTTTAGAAGCTTTCCACATCTGGGGACTGAATTTTTTGACCATTCTTATTTACAAATAAGCACGAGCTCAGTCAGATTGGATGGAAATTGGCTGCCAGCAGCAACTTTAAAGTCTTGCCACAGATATTCAGTTGATTTAGGCTTAGGCCTTTGTAACATATGAATATGTTTTGATCTAAGTTTGTACTGTAGCGTAGCTCTGGATGTATGCCACTCAATCAAAAGCAACCCAACAGCATGAGGCTATCATGACCATATTTCACCGTGGTAGATGATGTATTCGGGCCGGTGTGCAGTACTAGTTTTCCACCACGCTGTGCTTTGCATACAGGCCAAAAAAGTTCACTTGTGGTCTCATCTCTCATCTTCCTTTGCATATTTATTTCTGGCAAACAAAGAACATGAGTTCCTATGGCTTTCTTCTTGCTACCCCATTATAAAGGCCACGTTCTCAAACTTCTTAGGCATTTTATAGTGGTAATTATTTAGTGGTAATAAGTCAAATGCAGGGAAGGCTTAATTTATTTATTTTTTTTTAATTAAGTGACTTCTGAAGGTAACTGGGTGCACTGGATTTTACTTTTGTGAGTGTGAATAAATATCTAGCGTCTCTGAATCTCCGTTTCCCAATACATTGTCTTCATCCATGTTTGAATGTTTTTCTCTGTGTCACAAACCATTCTTACCTCTGGACACCTTCGATCAGAGCGATTAATTTCCCTTCTGTTTTATGACTTGTTCATGTTGTTAGCAATATGTATAGAAGTAAGAAGACGGTTTTAGGTAGGAAATGAGTAGAAGTATATAATGCTTTTGTTCAAATGCAGGGAGTAAAAGTAAAAAAGTGGTCAAGAAAAAAAAAAAAAAGCCCAAAATAAAGTACAGAAAAAGCTACTTAACTACAGTAATGACGTGCTTGTACTTTGTTACTTCCCACCTCTGTTGTAAGCTGGAAAAATATGAAAACGAGCGTGAAAACCTTTACAAGACAATGTGTCGGCTTTTTACAGCAAGTGGCAATTTGGTTCTTATTTCTTTTTGTATACAAGAGGGAACTTTTTTCAAGCTAATAACCCTGTGCACTTGTGTTGGCACAGCTGTGTTCATGTAACATAAAGGTGAGTGAACTCAGTATAAATCCAAACTAGGAAAACAAAGCAGTGTCTTTTTCTCCTTTGTGCCACTGTCTCATGATACTACTGTGACCTAGAAATTAGTCTCGGCAAAGCAGCTTGAAGGATGCCTAAATTCATGAAATGCATAAGGAGTAGCAAGGAGGCATGATGAATGAGCTTCTTTTCAAGATATTTGTAACTTATTTTTTTTTCTTTTTTTAATTACTTTAGTATTGCAAAACTAATTTAAAACCTCTTTTGACGTACAGCACATGTCAGTGACTGGTATTCTCGAGGTCAGCAGTGTCCTCATGACAGCTAAGGGATTAAGCTTATTTGACAGAAACAATGACTCCAGAAGTAAGCATTAAGAAGCAATCAAAAGATTTCTAACTTGATTCAAGAGGAAAACCTACACTTTTAGAAGGGTGGAGGACATGCAGCTAAGAGGGAATTCAAAGAAAAGCACCGAGGTCAAGCAAACTTAAGAATGACGAGAGTTAGCAGAATATTGCAGAAATTGCAATAAGTGTTACATTTTGTCCAAGGATTTTCAGTTACAAGCTTACATGACATTATAAAATTCTCCGCCTTTACAGTTCAAACAGTAAGCTGTTGTTGGTTTTATAATGGTAGGATAAGATTAAGTCCAGAAACTGGGATCTCATTTAGTTTAATGACTGGAAAATAAATCGCACATTTGGCTTAAAAACACATGGGTTAAGTTTTTCTCAGCACTGTTTAAAATGTGTTAGTTCACAATGGAAAAGTTGATTCTTTTATACAACTAGCTTGCATGACAAAATTCAAATGAAAGTGTTTAGGGCTTGCATTTTTACTTTATGTTTCACATCAAGTCATATCAAATTACGCCATCACTTATTTGTTCCTTTATCGTTTTCTAGTTGTCACATTATGAATGTTTACACTTTTAATGGGCAGAAAGCAGTGGAACTCAGTTAAAGTGTGTATACTGAAAGGGACAGGCTTTTACTCATACATTTATTCACACAAACGATATAGCTGTAGCATTGCTCTCAAATTATTGTATGTGACACAAGTGCACAGCTGCTCTTTTTTTAAGCTTTGATGTCATTTTTAGGTCATTTTGCACATTGCTGTGTCAGGGCAGAGTCTTCTCTGACCTTGTTTGAATTAAGCATGGATTGTACTGTAGTGTAGGAGCAGTTTTAATTTTTTCCATGAAGATTTTTTTTCTTCTGCTCTGTTTTGATATTTTTTTTTTTACCCTGAATATGTCTACCCTGCTTACCCTGATAATCCAGAAGCAAAATGCCCCTTCTTGTGATATATCCAGGTGAATTACCACTGAACATGGTTCTCAGAGTGTTTTCTCATATATCTCCCACCGTATTCCATGTTGGTCATTTGGTGTTTTTCCAGATATTCAAATGGTTATTTAAGAATGAGTCCACCTGGAATGTTTGTTGTCAAAAACCTTTTTTTGAGTTTTTAACTGGAATCTGGTCCAATGACATTAATAGCAAATTAACAAATCCCTCATGTTTATGTTTTATGTTTGTGATGATAGGGCAGAAAAATGTTTTTTTTTTTTTTTTTTCTGGCATGCCTTGTAAGCAGCTTTTCACCATGTCGATAGCACGCCGCACTGATTGATCCAGTAGAAATTCTACCGGCGGAATCCAAGTGAATGGGAGAAAGCCCAAATTGAGCTGTGAAACAATAGCATAGGAAGGCAATGGCCAGGGTATTATGATAGTGAGTTTTTGGAAATTGTTCTTGTCATCATTGTTCTCGATGTACATGGTTAGCAAACATGGGTCCTCATCCAGCTTTGTCCCAGTTTCACTGGTTTTCCTGTAGATACCTTTAACATAGCCACTGAATATTGTTTTTTTTTTATTTCTTTTAAAGTGACATCTTGTCACTTTTAAAGAAGGTAAGCACTGAGATGAAATGTGCTCCTTTTTCTGTAAATGGGTATTCCCACATTATTTTGCCTAGTTAGCTTCTTAAACAATTAATTGTTGCTACCTCCACTACAGCTAATAAGCCAAAGGCTTTATTACAAAACTAAGGTTTTTAGAGGTTTTTTCTCATATGAATAATTATACATGTTAATCAGAGAAACCCCAAATGGTTGTGAAAAATTAGATTACAAGGTTTGAACGTTTGAACGAACTGGTGGTTATTTTTATTCATAAGTTGATACACAGACTAGTAACTTTCCTTAGTAATCTATCTGTAGCTTTGTGGCTGACTGAAGGGCTCCTGGCATCACTTTTGTCATCATGATAACTTTAGCAATATTTCACTGACCAAAGATATGCCTTTTCAGAAATTGGTAGTGTGTATTCTTAAGACTGACTGTAATATTTTAAAAGGACTGCCAAATATTGGCTTATTTGTCAGCAGATGGATAATATTTTTTGACCTCTTGTCAAGCATCTGGAGCAAATGAGATTATTTAAATTCAAAGTGTGCATCCATCGTACAATGTCCTGATGTTACATTCTGTAACCTTGTTTTTCTGTGTACTGCTGAGCCCAGCGCTGAACAGAAGCTGAATATAAATGTTGTCTTTCTCAAGAGCAGACAGTGTATTAATGTAGAAGAAACACCTTAATCGGTTTGATCTAAAATGACTGGCATTTGGTTTAATTTTCTGTAACTGATTTATAGTATCAGTAAAGCAGAACCCATTAACTTGCAAATGTCATATGTCTACGTATTTTATTTCACCTATGCTCATCTCTACATATGTTACCCTGGTGTTTAATGTACTGAGAAATCCGATTGAACAAGTGTGTTTTTTTTTTTTTCAGAAACAACTATATTATTTACTCAAAGCTGAAATAATTTACCATTCAAAACATGAAAACAAACAAAAACATACGATGTAGCCTTTACCTTAAGCATGTTTAATGGGGGGTGAGGGAATCACAGATTTAAGCTGTTCTATGGAAGGCTGGCTAATTCTGTTGTTTTTGTGTCAAATTTA